GTGAGTTCAAGCCCCGCATCGGGCTCTGTGCTGACAGCTTAGAGCCTGGAGCCTGCTTCAAATTCTATGTCTCCCTCTCTCTCTGCTCCTCCCCCGCTCATGCTCTGTCTCTCTCGCCTTCAAAAATAAATAAAAACATTAAAAAAAATTTTTTTAAGCAAAATCTTTTAGAATGAATGAATGATCTGGGAAAGAGTTTTCCATAAAAGCACTACAGGAAAGAATGTTCTTAATAAATGGAGCATTTTATGGTAGATGGAATAGCAAATGTAAAGATCTAGAGATGGCAAAAGGAAAGGCAATAAGATTGTAATGACATAAAGATGGTGAGTGCAAAGGGCAGAGTGAATTTCGTTCTCCTCCAAACATATAAGTAGCCCTCGCTGTGAGCTGGACAGTGCCTAGAGAGTTAGGGATGAAACGAAGCAGAAGCCATGATTCCTGCAAGTTGCTCAGTCTGGTGAGAGAAAGAGGTAAATGAGTAGATGATTGTGATACAGTAAGATAAATGTTATAGTAGTGGCACATAGAGTGTCTTGTGGGAGCATGGGTGGGGCGCAACTGATCCAAATTGGTGGAATCACGGAATGGCTCCGCATAATCAAATATATATGGAACAATATGCGTTGATGAGTATTTAGACACTGTGCCAAGGGGGTCATAGATTTTCACATTTACTACTTAGAGCAATTCTGTGACGTAGGTGGTCTTTTGATCTGTCATTACAGATGAGAAAACAGAGGTTCAGAGAGATAAGTAACTTATCTGGGTTACTACCTGGCATAGGTTGGATTTGAACTCTGAGCTCTTAGCTGTCACATTCCTGACATTCTGGACTGGATTAGATCCCTCTGATGTATACCGTCATAGCACTGTATACTTTTCCTTCATCGTTTGATACAATTTGTAATTAGGGAATTGTGTAAGCATTTGATTGTCTCTCCTCTGCAAGGCTGTACCTCTCTCTTATAGTCTCATTGCTTACATAGCACAGTACCTGCACCCAAGTGATCAATAAATATTTTGAATAAATAAGTTCTGCTTATCCAAATATGCTTAGTTGCCAAGAATCACAAAGGAACCCTAACTTTTCCATTAAACATATCAATTTACTGGAATCTTTCTGTGATACTTTGGGGTATCTCTATAATAACATTTATCATACTTGAAAGTTGTTAAGAATAGCTTGGTAAAAAGGCTGCTGTGATTAAAGAATGACAAACTACATCTTTAGAATTTCTCCTTTGAATCTTTGACCTCTCAAGTTTTATTTATTTTTTTTATTTTTTATTTTTTTTTAAATTTTTTTTTCAACGTTTATTTATTTTTGGGATAGAGAGAGACAGAGCATGAATGGGGGAGGGGCAGAGAGAGAGGGAGACACAGAATCGGAAACAGGCTCCAGGCTCTGAGCCATCAGCCCAGAGCCTGACGCGGGGCTCGAACTCACGGACCGCGAGATCGTGACCTGGCTGAAGTCGGACGCTTAACCGACTGCGCCACCCAGGCGCCCCTGACCTCTCAAGTTTTAAATTGCATTCTAAATTAGATACCTTTGGGAAAACACACTCATATATGCAACCTGTGTTTTCTTTCTTTTATGCACCTCTTTGTTACATTCAGTGCTAATCCTTATTATTTTTTGTTGTTGTTGTTGACATTAAAATAGTTAAAAGTAAGAAGAATAAGAGTAAAGTAGTTAAAAATAAGGAGTATAAAAGTAGTAAAGGCACTAAGACACCATATACTGAACAGTTGGCCCCTGGGTAATTGAGAATGTTTTCTTGCTTGTTACAAGAAAAGAAATGTGGAAGCATAACCACTGAGTAGTTTATCTATTATATGAAATATCTGTTAGTTTTTTATTATGGGCATCATTTGCCTGCATCTTAGTCAGATGTTTTTACTGTATGTCTCTGAGCGTTTATTTCTTTCCAGGCAAAGTAAAATGACTGATATTAAATACTGCCATGAATCATTGAAATGTTTGCTTTTTTGCTTAAGGGAAAAAGTATTATGGTAAAATAGTCTCTGATGGCCAAATTGCAATGATCATATGTAGGAGCTTTTTTTAAATCTGACTTTTATTATCTTTGCTTATAGCTTTTTACCTGCACCTACTCAGCTATCTCAGGACCAGCTTGAGGCTGAAGAAAAGGCAAGATCTCAGAGATCACGACAGACCTCACTGGTCTCCTCCCGAAGAGAACCTCCTCCATACGGGTACCGGAAAGGCTGGATACCTCGGTTATTAGAGGTAAATAATTGTGTTAACGTTTATTATAAGACCCTTGTAAAATACCCTAGAACCTCTGCACATGAATGCCAATATGCTAGAAATTCTGGTCGTGAGTTCCTAAGCCATATATTCCTTTTAGAGGATTGATCTTTTTCTTCTGGCTTATTACCACTTCTTTGTGATCATAAGAGAATTGTACCTGTTTATGTCTCTTCTTATGTCCAACTATTAAACATGTACAAAAGAAACTAGCATACTCTCTATAAATCCAGGGATTACTGCATATGGAAAATAATGGGAAAGTAAGGAGAAAATGAAAAGAAGAGTTCATGTTCAGGTGCCTTTCCCTCCCTTCTCCCCACATACACAATGCCACGTAACCCCGAAGAGACAGCCTTCCTCCAGGGAAAACTCCAGCAGCATTTCTATTTCTGATTTCCTTCTTGTCAAGTATATTGGAAAGAGCATGGGCGAGAAGTTTAAAAGAATAAGTAAAAATAAGTGTTTTTGCATCATAGCTATGCTGCTTACTATTCGTGTGACACTGGGCAGATCCTGACCCCTCTTTATCAGTTTTCTTGTCTTCAATTTGAGAATATTAATATATGTCTAATATACATATTAGATAAATATTTTAGAAGGTATAAAAGAATTTGATGGTTGATTTGGAGGCAGTGAGGGAGAAAGAAGACTCTGAAATGATCTTTTTATATTTCTAGCTTATTTCCAAAAAACAAACTTCTTTGGTAGTACCTATCTTCCTAATTACTCTGTATCCTTTAGAGCAGATCAATACATATTCTTTTCCCTAATTCCAGGGCAGTCTTCCCATGCTTGACCACCTTTTTCATCTAGGGAGAAAAGCAAACATTTGAGACAACTATTTTGCCTCCCCAAGACTACTTCCTCTTTGATCAAGCCTTTTTCTTCTGTCTCTCAGTATTCATTCTGACTCCTGCAAATTTCGCTCTTCCACTTCCCAAGGAATGTGCCTGCCCTATTAAAAATCTTTGTGCCTATACCATTCGTGTTTGTACACAATTATTTTCATTTTATCACTCTGTTACATTCTGTCCTTTTATGGTTGTGATTTTTACCTTACAAATGTGAAGGGATTGTGCCCTCAACTTTTTTTGTATGCCTCCAAGTGCAGATCATGGTGAACTAAGTATTCATTGGACTGAAATTTGTTGTTGTCTCTATTCTCAGCCTCTCCCATGCTTGGCATTCCCCCTGCCTACCAGAACACTCTATAGAGCTTAAAAGACAAACTCCCAACTAGATCATGTCTTTTAAAAAATTTCCTTGTTTTTTTCCCTTAGCTGTCCTCTAGTCTTTATTAATTCTAATGTGTGAAAGCCAGTCTTACTAAAATTACTAAGGGTTTTTTGTTGTTGTTACTTTTGTTTTCACTGATAGTGTAATTTGTGAGGTGTGGGGCAAAAGAAGATTATCAAGGGGGCTGGAATGCCCTCTTATCTGGGGCAAAAAGGTAGTGATTGACATTATCTGATAGAAGGATAATGTGTCCCTTGAGGGATTATAGATATTCTTCGTTTGCCTCTCAATAGATTACAGAGTGGGGGTAGCAGACATCATTTTACATACAACAGAAACCTCATCCAAAGATTAGGCTTCCATTTTAGCATTATGACATTCAGGTACTTTTTAAAATCTTACTTGACTAAAGGTTTCATACATCTTGGTAGAACAGAACAGTTTATTTGAAAATCAAACCAAAATGGCCAGCCAATCTGGAAGGACTGTGAATGCTTCTTGAGGGGAGTGAACGTTCTGTGGAGAAAGCATTTTGTTCTAGTGTTCAGAGTAAAAGCTATGATTTTCTGGCAAGCTTAATGACTGCATAATGCCACATCCACAGTCTGAAGTACTTATTATAGTTGAAGAACCCCAGCAGATCTGAGCATATGTCAGATTGATGTCCTGGCTACAGGTAGCACCTTTCTTGGGAATATTTTAACTATTTTCTGCTGAATTCATAAGAAATGTCTCCCTCAGCTTTATTGTTTGTTTTTAGAAATGTCAAAATTTTCTTTAGCAAGTCAGTATATTGTATCTAGGAAATCACATATCCAGGATCTAATGGAATATTTCTTGAAGGAGGAGGTCTTATAAAAGTAGTTATTTACATAAAATTTTTCATCAAACCCCCTGTAAATGATTAATTTTAATGTTTTTTCCTATCATTTTTTAGTTGTATTGATTTGCCCTTTTTAGAGCTAAAAAGGAAAGAATTTTAGTTCAGTAGAAAATACAGTTTTTTGGAGTCAAAAGATCTGAGTTCAAGTCCTGCCTATGCAGGACATCTTGGGAAAATCACTTAATGTTGCTAAACTTGAATTTTTTCCATATGAAAGTATGATTGTTGAAATACAGGAATTAAATGAGTGTGGATTGTTGAGTGTACAATATAATTCCTAAGCAAATATTACTAAGTTTAACAAAGCTATTTAAAACTTGTATTTAACATTCATATGTTTATTTGACCATCTACCTTTTTTGTAATGTTAAACTTCATCAACAGATGTTACTTAGCTTGTGCTACTTGAGAAGTCTTAGTCTTCTCTTCTAAGTAATTGTATATCACCATTAGAAATGTGGTGAACTCATTTCTAGAGCCTTCCTTTCTATTTATTTGCTTCTCCTGGAACATGAATAAATACGTTATTAAAATCTGGTTCCAAGAAAAAATTCTTTACATTTCTGCCCTGTTGTACCTTGACCTTTGCCTCACTAAGAACATTATGTATGCTAAAACTAAAAATCTTTTCTTTGTCCTAAACGTTCTACTTAATTTCATCCTGTCATGTATATAAAAATCTTTGCCATGGTCTAGAAGCCCTCTCATGATCTGGTGTTTGTCTGCCCGTGCAAGGTTATCACCTATGTGTCTGCTCCTTTGTCCCAGTAAGCTCCAGCCTCACTGGACACTTGTTTCCAAGGACATCCCAAGCTTGTTCTTATAGCAGTACCTTCATGCTACTTGCTTTACCTAAAAAATGCTTCCCTCAGATCTTCTCATACCTGATTTCTCATTATTTAGCTTTAACTCACATTACCTCTTCACAAAGGCTGTCCTAGCCACAGTATCAAAAGTAGACTTTCTAGGGCACTTGATGGGTCGGTCAGTTAAGTGTCTGACTCTTGATTTCAGCTCAGATCATGATCTCACAGTTCATGATTCGAGCCCTGCATAGTAGTGCTCTGTGTTGACAGGGCAGAGCCTGCTTGGGATTCTCTCTCCTCTCTCAAAAATAAATCAATAAGCATAATAAAAAAAAAAAGGAAAGTAGATTTTCTTTGCAGTCCCATTATATTTTCAAGGCATTTATTACAAGCCAAAGATTAGGCTTTTTACATCTTTGCCCGCTGGAATGTACACTGTACAAGACCAGCGACCTCTGTTTCTTTACTGCTGTATCTCTTAGCATCTACTATAACAAGGGCTCAATAATTATTTGGTGAATGAATGAATATATCTTGAACCTCAAATTATTAAGTATTCTTTTTATTTCTTTCCTTTTTAATATGTAGGATTTTGGAGATGGCGGTGCTTTTCCAGAGATCCATGTGGCCCAGTATCCACTGGATATGGGACGAAAGAAAAAAATGTCAAATGCGCTGGCCATTCAGGTGGATGCTGAAGGAAAAATTAAATATGATGCAATTGCTCGGCAGGGACAGTCAAAAGACAAGGTAATCCTCTCGTTGATTTTTCCCTCTATTGATAAATACGTATCTGGCCATTTAGCTTTGTTAAAAGTAGCAATGAGTAGCAGTTAGTACTTAGGCTAACAACTGAAAATATGACTTCATGATTATATGAACAATGTATTATGACTTCATAACAGCAATGACTTTTTCATTTCAAATCTCCCAAATTGATGATAGCTTATATATACTTAGGGTTTTCACTTATTTGTTTAGCATTTTAAAAACAATTTGAGGGTGCCTGGGTGGCTTAGTCAGTTAAGCCTCCAACTTTGGCTCAGGTCATCCTCTCATAGTTCATGGGTTCAAGCCCCATGTCTGGCTCTGTGCTGACAGTCAGAGACTGGAGCCTGCTTTAGATTCTGTGTCTCCCTCTCCCCTGCTCATGCCCTCCCTCTCTCACTCGCTCGCTCACTCTCTCCCTCTCTCTCTCAAAAAATAAACATTAAAAAATAAATAAAAGCAATTTGAAATTGTTAAATTTTGTTTTAAGTTCTTTTATAGTACTAACATTTTTCAAATGCTAGAAAATTGCTAAAAATCTATAATTCTAGCACCCTAAAACACAAAAAATCAAAATTTAGATTTGTTTATAGTCTTCTAATTCTGTCTCATATACTTACAAAGTACTTACATAGATATTTAATTATTTTAATAATTCACTTGAATGTAATGAATTAAACTTTTTTCTCCCCTAAGTATAAAACTGGCACTTGCTGTCCATATTTTTGATGGCCTGCTTACAGGTAATCCAAAGACCAAAAATAAAATTTACTTAAAATAATCTCCTCACAGAGCAGCTACGCTCAGAGCCAAGGAACTGTTTTTAAGAGAAGACCTAGTTTTTTCCCTCGTAAATAAGTACTCCACGCATAGGTAAAGATCTCTTTAGAATTGAAGATGTTGCGAAAAATAGTTGAGGGCCTTCAGTACTTGTCCTTTGCCTCTTTCTCTTCCCTAAATGTTTTCATTTTACCCTCTAAAATTGCAGTAATGACCCCATCCTCTACTCCTGCATCATGGGTGCTGGGTTCTTGGGGAAAACAGTTACCCAGTCATGCAAATCTATGTCTCAGGTTTAGACTGCGCTCCCTTGGTGTTCCTCCAAGCTTTAACTCCTACTCCTCTCCGTCCCCTGTCAGCTTACAGGTGACATCTGTTTGCACATAACGACTAGTGGAAGAAAATTGTCTGCTTTCTTTATCCTGCACTTGGCTTTCTGTCTTGACTTTTCCTTTTGTCTCTATGAGAAATGTCTTCGGTCTAAACCTAATCTTGCCAGGTGTGCTGTAGCGTATCCTGGATTTCATTCCTCCTCCTCTCCTTTACAGCCTCGCTTTTTCTTTATTCTTCTCAACCATGACTTCCACCTCCCCTTCTTCTACTGGCTCCTTTCTGTTAGCTTTTAAATATGCTTGCTTTTATCATCTTTTGAAAGAAAAGTTTTTCCCTGACTACCCTCAAGGCTCCCTCTAGCTACCACCAAATTTTCACCTAGGTTTCTTTATTTTCCTTCAAGCTTTTTGCTTGTTGTTATCTGTTCTACTTCTTCACTTCCCTTTCATTCTTCATTTCACTGTAATACAACCTCATCTCAACCAGTCTCTAAGCAAAGTTCTCTAAGGCTTTTCTCACAACACCATCTCTTTGACTAATCTATTTCCTTGGCTAAAATTGCCACTCATGTTGATGACTGTTAGATCTATGTCTCCAGCCGAGTTTTCTCCCCTGAGCTGTAGGTCCTTATATCTTACTATCCGCAAGGACAGCTCTATTAGATTTCCTCAAAACATCACTCATCAAATCCAAACCTAAATTCATAATTTTCCACTTAATCTACCTTCTCTATTCTCTAACTCAGTGATTGGCAGTGATATCTTCCTGACTGACTATGCTAAAAGCCTGGGAGTTATTTTTCCCCCCACTATTTTGTTGATTTAAAAAAGATACACTAATAATAAATTCTTATGGTAGAAGATATCAACAGTACATAAGTATGTATGTAGTGCCTACTTCTCCCACTTTACTTCCCATAGGTAAGTACCACTACTATAATACATATCTTTCCAGACCTTTGTTATGGATTTAGATATTGATGTATATATATATTCCCACTTTAATACACACACACACACACACATATCTTTTTTTACATGAATGAGATTTTAATATTCATAACTTTCATAGCTTTTTTAAATTTAGTATGTTTGGAAGGTTTTTATCAGTGTATATAGGTCTGCTTTATTTTTTAAAAATCTATATAGAATTCCAGGTGTGTTTGTGCCCTAAGTTTTTTTTAAGCATTTTTTAGTTTTCAGATTTCAATTTTTTAGTTTTCAGACAGTACTTTATTCAAGGTCCATATACAAATACCTTTTTGCACATGAATATTTGCGTAAAATAAATACTTATGTGAACTTACTGAGTCAAAGATTATTCAAATGTGAGATGTGACACATAATGCTATAGTCCTCTAAAAAGCCTTTGCTGAGCGGTCATTCCATTCTTTTGTGTTTCCTTCAGGCCTTCCAACTGTTAGTCATTGTGATTTATCTTCTTCCTTAACACTTCTCAAGTATATGCCCTTCTCTGCTACTTAGTTCAGGCCCTTATCACTTGCTTTATTTACTGCAGCAGAGTCTGAAACCACCTCCTTTGCATTTGTTTTGCCTGCTTAGAAAAACAAACTCATCCTTGTTTATATGTTTAGCTTTCTCCCTCTCCCCCACGTATACACACACAAGTGTGCACACTTAAAATGTTTCCATAGCCTTTAGGGTAAGAACCAGCCAAGCTCCTTATGGTGCACTTGGTCCCTTCCTTATCTTTCTAGCCTAGCCTCAACTTTCATGGCCAGAAAAGTTAAATCCAAAAATAAACAGTCCAGTTTTAGCCATTCTTTTTATTTTCAGTACAAAATAATCGCCACTGTTATGTGGTTGTTAAGAAAAAATTTTCAGGGCACCCAGCTGGCTCAGTCAGTGGAGCATGCGACTCATGATCTCAGGGTTGTGAGTTTGAGCCCCCACGTTGGGTGTAGAGATGACTTAAAAATTAAAAAAAGTCTTTAAAAAAGGAAAAAAGAAGAAGAAACTTACAGACATTTTCTGTAAAGATCTGCCACAAGGAATTCTTGCAGCTCCCCTAATATGGCACATTCTCTCTTACCCTGGGAACTTCCCATGGATGTCCTCCTGTGTGTGGGAAAGCTCTCCCCCTATTCTTTGACTAAATTCTGTTGCTTTTTTTTTTCTTAATGTTTATTTATTTTTGAGAGAGAAAGAGAGCACAAGCAGGGGAGAGGTAGAGAGAGAGGGACACAGGATTTAAAGCGGGCTCTGTGCTGAGAGCAGAGAGCCTGTTGTGGGCCTCAGACTCACGAACTGTGAGATCATGACGTGAGCTGAACTTGGATGCTTAACCGACTGAGCCACCCAGCTGTCCCTAAATTCTGCTGCTTTCAAATCACAGCTCACTCTTCATTGTTTCGGAAAACTCTTCCTAATCTTCCCTGGCCAGATGGGGTATCCTTCCTTCCTCTTCCCTGTTTATCTTAGCAGTCATCACATTTTGTTCTATTTATCAGTTCACTACTATCTATGTCATTTGACTATAAGCTCTTTGAGGACAGAGATTATATCTTTAGATTTCCTCCTTGGCACCTAATTTAGTGCCTGACAGCTTGACGCACAGACTTTCATCAGTGATTTGTTTGAGGAGTGATAGCAGTTTTCATTGAATAACAGAAAACCACTTCTCCTGAGCCAGTAGGGAAGCATAGTCCACTCCTGCAAAAGGAAAAACAGGTCCTTATACAGCAGGACATATACTGGAAGTATGCTCTGTGCTGTGGAGGCCTTCTCTAGGCTTCACTTGCCTTTGTTTTGGTACATCTCTCCTTCTTTGGAATAGTCATTATTCTTTATTGGTACATGCTGCCTTTCCTCTCTCATTGGTTAAGAAAAAGAACACTTTAGGACAACAGTTTGGCATTGGCAGGTTGACTAATTTTGAATGACACACGGTTGTAGCCCATTTTGCATTAAATTTCAAGACTGGAAACCAACAATTTTCTCTCACGTCTAGGAAGTGTCTGAAAGTTTTTTCTTTCTCTAAGAACCATATATACTGGTGATTATTTTGTTTTGAAAGTAGAGTGGAGGGAGTGCCTGGGTGGCTCAGTCAGTTAAGTGTCTGACTTCTGCTCAGGTCATGTTCTCACGGTTTGTGGGTTTGAGCCCCGCATCAGGCTCTGTGCTGACAGTTCTGAGCCTGGAGCCTGCTTCGGATTCTGTGTCTCCTCCTCTCTCTCTCTGCCCCTCCCCCCCAAAAATAAATAAAACATTAAAAAAAGAAAAAGAAAGTAGAGTAGAAATGTTATAACTATTTATTTTTAGATTTCAGTATTCTGGCCAAATAAGGTCTCTAAAGTAATGTTTCTTTATACACTGAAAGCATTACATGTTTGTCTATAATGCAACCACTAGGAATGAATCCAAAACTAGTAGTTTATGGAGGCACCACTCAGAGGTTCATACTAACCCTGACCCTAATGGAGGAAGCTATGCATGTGTAGGGGCAGGATGTATATAGGAAATCTCTGTGTCTTACTCTTAATTTTGCTGTGAACCTGAAACTACTCTAAAAACATAATGTCTCTGAACACATACACATGCGCGTGTGTACATGCATACACAGAATGAAGATTTTTTAAAAAATGAGCAGGGTACCGAATGAATTGAGAAGAAAGATAGTGAACAGAGTGAGTACTTGGACTGTTCTGATACTGTTTCTGGTGAATGTATTTCCTTGCTGGACATTATGTCCTGGAATATACACTTGAATTTCTTACACAAATTTAATAAATAAGTATTTTAATTTTTTAAAAAGTGGATGGATTAATGTACGAAGTTTTTGAATGCATTTAATTGAACATTAACTGAGTACACGTTGGCAAATGCGTTGGAAGAGGGGACACTTGATTGTTCGGGACCATCTTGCACGTTGTATAATGTTTAATGTAACTGCCACTACCTATTAAATACCTGTAGAGCCTTGGGGGTGGCAGCAGTGCCCTGTTTTAAAACCACTGATTTTCCAGTTTTAGAAGTAGGAATTGGATGCTAAATGTACAAAATGGGTCTTTAAAAATTCATTATCATTCAGGAGGCTTGATTTTCAGAGTCTTTGACATAGGATGAAAATAGTTTATTGGATTATTGAATTTGCATTATAGTGTAAAGATTTCTGATTTATATCAGAGGGATCTGGTTTTCTTCAGAAACCAGAAAGTTATCACTGAAATATTAATAGTGAAAGGTCAAGAATGGTAAATGCTAGCTCTAGGTATAAGAGATTAAGAAAAAGGCAAGATTTCAAGGGATAAGTCTAGGCCCTAGATCTCTCTACATGTAAAATAAATACCGTATTGACAAGACTTACAGTAATACAAAATTGGAGGGAAAAAAATTTTCTTGAATTAAATTTTGATGGAACTAAAACGTTCTTTTTTTTCCAATTGTGATTTGAGTGATACATCAATAAAAAGCCTTGGTGTTTACATTTTTCCTTCTGAAATATTTGCATAGCAAATGTTACATATATGATATTACCTAAAAGAATGCCTTCAACATTTTCCCCCCAAACAAATAACTCCCAGCAACTTTAAACTGACCCCGAGATAAATCATATATTACCTTGTTCATGATTTCACAAACTAGCTAAGCCTAAAGATAGTGTTTTCTTTCTGCCTTCAAAATGGTGAGTATGTTGACAGATTTATCCAGTCAGGTCAATCTGGTCCTTTGCCAGTTTTCAGTAATAAAAAAAAAAGTTTCACAGATGATTTATTGCTTTATCTTGTTCCCAGAGCCCATTTGTGCTCTTCTTACCTTCTGGAGTATATTGTATTTTTCAGATAACCCTCCCCAGCCCCTTTGCCTCCTGGGATATTCTGAGTTTCTTCAGCACATTTGGTTCTCAGGCAATAAAAATTTGAGGTTTTATAGTTAATTACCATGGAGGAATCTTGCTCTTCAGATGTCCTTCACTCAGCTTTGTGAGATGCTAGAATCTTATTGATGCTCATTTAAAGGGTTATTAACTTTGGAATACCCAAATAAGAAGCAGCAAATGGCTCTTGTATGCTAAATTAGTATTGAGACTTTATGTTGAGCATATATGACTACCAGGGAGCCATTTACTTAGAATCCTTTCCTGTAATGATTGCTGTGTAAAAGTAATTAACTCTTCATAGTCTAGATACTATTTTCTAGAGTATTGATATGTAATTTTAAACTCAAGTGGCATAGATGTTTCCATCTTGAAAAGAAATAAGATTTTTAAGGTCATTACTAGCTGTGTGATGTTAATGTATGGAACCTTACTCTTCTCCCCAGAGTGAGCTTTAGGTCCCTTCCAAATGAACACTGAGAGGATGGTGACACTACAGCTCACATATCAGTGGTTATGTTTTGTGGTAAACAATCTATACTTTTCTTGCCTGATCCTTTGTCTCATTCCTGAGAAAAACAAGCTAAAGGATTAGTCTGTAGTCATGAGATAGTTTTTTCTGGGAAATCCACAGCTTATATAAAACATTCCTCATCAATAATATAGGTGTAATCATTGTGCATATGCATACCTCAAGGTTGATACACAAATTCAATTATATATATAAAGCTAAAGAATAGTGGCACAAAATAAGTGCTTAATAAATTTTAGCTATTATTATTACTTTAATAGAATACATGACAAAATGGAAAATAATTTCATACTGTGAGCAATGCTTTGAAGACAGTAAACAGTGCTGTGACACTAAGTGATGGGATGAGGAGGGGTTGCTGCTTAGCAGGGTAGTCAGGGGAGGACTCATAAGTGCAGTCATGACCTTTGAACAGAGACTCAGAGGTTGAGAACTCATGTGAAGAACTAAGAACAACACTATTTAAGGCCCAGAATTTGGGAATAGCATGTTGTGTTTAAAACAAACAAACAAAAAAACAAAGAGCTGATGTGATTGAAGCATAATAAATGAGGAAGCAAGAGGTATGGGGGAGATTAAAGGTGTAGGCAAAGCCAGGTCAGGTCTTATAGGCTATGAAGTGTTTTTTGTTCTGCCATTTGGAATAAGAAATTAAGAATAGCCAGCATTTCCTTTAAGCTATTTTTAAGGAATGTCCTGGTAGAATGCAGTTATTGATAGAAGACTTTGGCTTATAGTAGTAATTTTTGAAGGTCTCAAGTACCTGAGAATTGGGTTTTCTTTTATAATCATTAGTTGTTCTTTATATGTGTATCAAAAATTCCCTACTAAAGCAGTAAAATCTAGAATGCTGTTTATTTGCTAAATTCTCAGTACTTCTTTTTTTCAATAAAGTCTGCCATGTAAGTTTTTATGAAAGTATTTGAAAAGTATAGGTGGACACAAAAGTAAGTGATACTCTATTTGTCAGGGGCCTACTACATCAGTGTCAGCTTCATAGAGACTTGGGGAGCCCAGTAAAAATTCTGGCCTTTGTAAATTTGGATAATGAATATAAGTGGTGTATGTAGAATATATTTTTACTTCCCCCCCCCCCCCAGAAGAAGTGTTCTGGGTTTTTTGACCATGACACGTGTTCATTACTTAGTCTGTGAATAGAATTGCTGTCAGAAAAGACAAACATTATTAAGTAGGGTAAGGTCAATGAAATTTTCCAGGCCCAGTGAATTTGGAAATTATTTGGTAACCTGACTTAAATTCTGATGAGTTTGTAATCCAAGATAATGGTGCAATAGGCAATTTATATCATCATTAATTTCAAGTCTTAGTGAGTCTCAAAAATAGGGATTACTGATGCATAAGATTTTGTTGGCACAATGTATTTGGATACTGACTTGATTAGAAGATCTCCAATAATTTAAATGCATGAGGTCAAAGGAAAATTATTAACTTATATAGCTGGGGCAGTAATTTGTGTATATATTTTAAGCTTCCTTGGTTTTAAAATCTAAAAGACAAAATCTGTGTCCTAAATTTATAAGTGTGCTGACTTCTGAAATGACTTAATGAGGTTGCTTCTTCTCATTCTCTGCTTTTCTTGATCCTGCTTGTGTTTGAACATTTTAGGTCATTTATAGCAAGTACACTGACCTGGTTCCCAAGGAAGTCATGAATGCAGATGACCCAGACCTGCAAAGACCTGATGAGGAAGCCATTAAAGAGGTAACTGGGCATTGATACATATATAATTATTTTAGATGGCTTTTGACGTCTTTATTAGCTTTCAGACAACTCATTGCTGTGTTTCTTATTTCAGATAACAGAAAAGACAAGGGTAGCCTTAGAAAAATCTGTATCACAGAAGGTTGCTGCAGCCATGCCAGTCCGAGCAGCTGATAAACTGGCTCCTGCTCAGTATATCCGGTATGATCTTGCCTGGAAGTCTTACTTTCATGTTGGACTAGATTGGGGTTGGGGGTCCTGGTATTCCTTCACTATCCTACTTAGTCACAATTAGACAAGCAATTTTTTGAAGAATGACTTAAAGTCTGTTGACTCTGCAGACTCTTGAAAGCAGAATTTTTTAAGATATTTTTGAAGATATTAACTATTATGTTGTTCTCAAAATATATTTTTTTGTTTTTAGAAATTAACAGTTACTTACAGCATGTGACCCAAACCACAAATACTATTTTAGTTTCCCATTTATATATAATAAGCATCATATATTTATATAATATTTTCATAATGATATAATATTAGTATATTGGTAATGTCATAATTCATTATATAATAGTTATATAACATGTAATAATAGAATAATAGTAATGTACTAATATTTATATAATGATAGGCATATTTATAATACTTATAAATTGTGAGGGATTTCATTCAACTAAATCTTTGTGTAGAGAGATGATTCACATGTATAGGAAAATTCAGAGCTTATAGGGCTGCTACTATTATTCTTCTCTGTTTTACAACCCATGATTAGTCAGGAACTACTAATTCTAAGTTGCCTGCTGAAATATGGGGTGTTTCTTCCTCAAACGCAGACTTACAAAATAGGTACCATTTTCTAGACCTCTTACCTGTGAAATTGAACACCATGCCTTCTGTGGTGGAAAATGGACAAGGATAGATTATTTGCAAACCAATATGACTCTAGTTCACATTTTGCTTATAACTCATAATTGCTGTTCTCTTACCTCCATTGCTGTCTACTCTACCTAAATATTTTGTAATTTTCTATTAATACTTTGTGAAAGGAATTGACAATATAGTCTAACCTAGGATTATAACAGAAGGAAATAACCCATTGAGCTTGAACTAGTTACACCTTTAGTTTCATCTGCATTCTTCAGATACACACCATCTCAACAAGGAGTGGCTTTCAACTCTGGAGCTAAACAGAGAGTTATTCGGATGGTGGAAATGCAAAAAGATCCAATGGAGCCTCCACGGTTCAAGTAAGTAGATGGCCTGTAAGAATAAACCTCTATTCGGGGTGCCTGGGTGGCTCAGTCAGTTAAACGTCCGACTTCGGCTCAGGTCATGATCTCACGGTTCGTGGGTTTGAGCCCCGCATTGGGCTCTGTGCTACCAGCTAGGAGCCTGGAGCCTGCTTCGGATTCTGTGTCTCCCTCTTTCTGCCCCTCCCCTGCTCATTCATTCTCTCTCTCTCTCTCTCTCTCTCTCTCTCTCTCAAAAATAAATAATAAAGATTTTAAAAAATTAAAAAAAAAAGAATAAACCTCTATTCTTAAAAAAGATATCAGAGGAGAAAAATGTCCCAAATGTCCATCAGTAAGTGAGTGGATAAATAAATTGTGGGACATCTATACATGGAATACTATTAATATTAAAATGGAATAAATAAAAAAGAATAAACTTAATACATGAAATAACATGAATGAATCTCAAAATAATTATGCTGAGTGAAAGAAGCCAGACAAAAACAAATACATTCTGTATGATTCCATTTTTATAAAACTCCAGAAAATGCAAACTAATCTGAGGTGACAGGAGGTAGATCAGTGCCTATGGTGAAGGAGGGGAGTACAGAGGTGAGGGGAGGAATAAGAAGGATAGGCAAGGAGCATGCAGAAACTTGGAGGTGATGAGTGTGTTTGCCATCTTGATTGTGATGATGGTTTCACAGGTGTATACTTGTGTCAAACTTAAACTGTTCATTTAAATATTTATAGTTAATTGTATGTCAGGTGTACCTGTTATTTAAGAAAACTGTTATTTAAAAAGAAGAAAAAAAGTGGGGGTGCCTGGCTGGCTCAGTTGGTAGAGCACGTGACTTGATCTTGGTGTTGTGAATTCGAGCCCCATGTTGGATGTGGAGCCTACTAAAAGTATATTACTCTATGAGATGATAATGATACTGTGGAGATGAAGGTGGGTAATGATGATGACAAGGTTGGCTGTGTTTAACGGTTGTCGAAGCTCAGTGACTGATATATGATAGATGGGCATATATTATACACTCTCTTTTTTTATATATTTGAAGCTTTATAAAAATGGGAGGGGGAGACTTGAGACATATTAGCTAAAATGGAAAACTGTGTAACACTCTCTGGTTTTGCTTTGATTTTATCCTTCAGGATTAATAAGAAAATTCCCCGAGGACCACCTTCTCCTCCTGCACCTGTCATGCATTCCCCTAGCCGGAAGGTAATCTTTGCTGTAGTCTAACATCTTTTTTTGTATTCATGATTATTAATTTTATACATAACCTTCCATAGAACAAAATCTAGGTGCCTATACAGGTACATTTTGCCACACTTACTACTTTTTTAAGTTATCTTTCAAGATCAAATGGGGAGCCACTCAGGGCTATAATTTGTAGGTAGTTCCAGAGTGTGTAAGAGAACGTATGTGAAATGTTAGCTATTAGTTTTCTTGTTGTTAGCCTAACCCCTGCTATTAATGGAATGAACAGGGTCTGCTATTTGACAAGCAGAATATTGTCATAGTTATAAGAAGTAAGTGCCTGGGATTAATAGGCCCCTGATAATCTGAGTGGCATTTTTTAGATATGATTTATTATCCAACTAAAAGAACAAGTTTTCATCTCAAAGAAGTCATGTCACTTTAAATATGGAAAAATACTAACCATTTATAATAGTCAAAAATAATGTATAGATTATTTTCCATTTTTTTATATTAAAGTTACTACTAGAATCCATGGTGAAGGAACATAGTATATAGTGCTACCAAACAAATGGAACTTTGGCCTTGGACTACATTCATTCATATGTCAGTGTATATTGAACTATCTTTGAAGAGAAACATTGCGCTTGGGTTTTTAGCTAGACTATAAATCTAAAAATGTCTCTTTTTCTGTTCTTTTGTCAACTCAGATGACTGTGAAGGAACAACAAGAGTGGAAGATTCCTCCTTGTATTTCAAACTGGAAAAATGCAAAGGTAATGAAGTTGTCATAAAATCAGTCTCCTACTTTTAGAACCTACTGGAAAACACTCAGGAAAGATGTTCAGCCTGAAAAACTTTCATTAAATCCTCACCATCTCACTTAGCTGAATGTTTTCAAAAAGGAACACCCAACTTATGTGACTTTTTTTTTTTTTGTAATGTAATAGAAATATAGTATGCCAGTCACATGAATACTATGTAGATTCTTTTAGTGAATTGTAGGTATCAGAAGCTTATAGAAAAGAAATAGGTAAATTAAAGTGACATATCAATGAATGATAGTCTTCTTTAGAAAACTGGAATTGATATCTAAAATTATTTCTGAAAGAAATCAGTTTAATAATATGACAAAAAAGAGTAATTGTTTGGATATATGCAGTGCTTTAAGTTTCAAACATTTTTTTTCTGTTTATAAGAATATATGCATAAGCTTTTTAAATCCTGTACATCTCTAAGCACCAAAGCTTGCAGGAGTCATGAAGAATCTGTACAATAATGTGAAATAAATTCTCTGATCACTATTTCCCCTTTTCCCCCAAATCACGCTTTATAATTCTATTTTTGATGGGTGATGAAGGCCACTTTAATTTGTAGATTAAATAGAACTACTTTTTTAAATTTATTTTTTATTTTTTTATTAAATTTTTTGTGTGTCTTTATTTTGAGAGAGCGTGAGCGAGTGAGTGGGGGAGGGGCAGAGAAAGTGGGAGACACAGAATCTGAAGCAGGCTCCAGGCTCTGAGCTGTCAGCACAGAGCCTGACATGGGGCTTAAACTCAGACTATGAGATCATGACCTGAGCCAAAGTAGGACGCTTAACAGACTGAGCCACCCAGGTGCTCCTAAATTATTTCTTAAAGGAAGTTATGTACTCATCCTAAAACAAAAGGGTGTACTTTGGTGTATTAGGAGTAAAGACCATGGACAAGAGTCAACATTTAGGAATCTAATCATAAATCTGGAAGAATAAAGCTAAGCCTGAAATGTCCATGGTGTTCAAGTATACTCCTTGAGTTACTGAAAATAGGATGCAAAATTTCAGAACACAGAATCTTAATTTGTCAAAATATCTTTTTTCCATTTACTAAAACTTACAGTATTCCAAGAATCTGACAAGTCATTAAAACAGTACAACACGTTAAACTACCTATGTATACTCTGATGTTAGTGATCTGTTCCACTTTTGTATGATTGGTCTATTACTTGAGGAACAACTGTTTAGCTATTTGATAGTGATTTCCTTTTACCCTAACTCATAATTATTAACATGAGAATCTTTTTGCCCTGACCTTGGGCTCTGGTATCCTACTGTCCAAGTTTAAATTTTAGCTCATCTGTTTATTAACTGTGTGACCTTGGGGACATTACCTAAGCTCCCTACCTCAGCATCATCAGCTGTGAAATGGAAACAACAGCGTTACCAGCCTTACAGAGTCACTGTGAAGGTTAAATAAGACCGCAGACATGAAGTGCTTTCAGTTAAGACTTTACACGAAGCTCTCAGTGTGAGCCTCTGCTGCTGTTTCACAATTGGGAAGAAAGATGTAAGAACAAGAACTTCAGCTCAGTGGTTGTCAAAATGGACATATTTAAATCTAACTTTAAAGAATCTGTTACCACTTTTTTATGACTGGTGATTCCTGCCTGCTTTCGCACAGGGTTATACAATTCCATTAGACAAGCGTCTGGCTGCTGATGGAAGAGGCCTGCAGACAGTTCACATCAATGAGAACTTTGCCAAGCTGGCTGAAGCCCTCTATATTGCTGATCGGAAGGTTGGTCTGTCATAATTAACGGGTGTAATGCTCTTGATCATTTGTAAATCCATTTTTGGTTACCTAAGATACTGTTTGTTTGTTCTAGTTTTATTGAGAAATAACTGACTCATCACTGTAAATTTTAAGTCCTATAACATGATGGTTTGATTAACACAAGATACTGCTGTTTTAGGTACAGTACTGGGTACCTAGAGAGACAGTCACCTGTAGCATGGATGCCAGACATGGCAGGTGCTATTTGCAGCTCTGCGCTTGGTCTCAGCCTTTGTAGACTTGTACATAGACTCCATTGCTGGCCAGCCAGCCTCCTCAGAACACTCCAGAATGGTGGTTCACTAGGCTCATCTCATTTTTAAAGACATTGTCGACTGCTATTTTTAGGTTTTACAATGTTTCTCTTTCTTTTTTTCTTTTAATAATTTTTTTTGTTTTAAATATAGATGTTTCCCAAAAGGTCAGCAAGGAAGGGCAAATAAACATCCTGATGAATTAAATGCTGTAGAAAATGGTAGTCATAATAGCAATTGTCTATTAATATTATGGCATTAATGTTATTAATATGTGACCTGGAAGTTCACATACCTCATGGCACATGTTTAAAACATAGATAAGTATACATCCTACATCACAGCAAGCACCTTTCTAAAAAATCATCTCCTGCTAAGGCTTTATCTTGAATTGTCTTGATTGATTTTGAACATATTACCAGTTTCTGCTATGTTACTGATACTGAAAATTGCTTAATTGGAACCTGGTTTAACGTAGTTTTTGGGTTGTTTCTGAGAAAGCATTAGTGAAACAGCGACTTACAAGATTTATTGGGGTCGTTATCATTTGAACCACTAAAACATTTTCCAGAGTGAAAAATCTAAGTTCGCAGTGTCTTTTAGGCAAGCTTTGTTTTAGTGGACAAGAATCTTTGTTTTAATCGGTAATAACAAATCTAAATTCTTATAACTGCTCTTTGAAGCCAGACTTCAGTCAGGGTTTTGGATGATAGCTGTGACTTACCCTCCAATTGTGTATTATTTAACATCTGACTTTACTAACAGGCTCGTGAAGCTGTAGAAATGCGTGCGCAAGTAGAGAGAAAGATGGCTCAGAAAGAAAAGGAGAAACATGAAGAGAAACTTAGAGAAATGGCCCAGAAAGCCAGGGAGAGAAGAGCTGGGATCAAAACCCATGTGGAAAAAGGTATGACATTCTCTTTACTGAGTTGAATTTACATTGTGAACATTTAGAGACTCGCCATTGTTTTTACTGCATAGAAAACTAGTACACACCTATAAAAATGTAGACATTTCAGAAATAATATAGAAATGAAACAATAACTTCTGCTTTACTGAGCTGTAGCAGTAGAAAATAAAGAATATATATTTGAAGATGGGCCTTCAATGTAGTATGAGACTACATTGGAATTTTTTTTTTTAATGTTTTATCTTTGAGAGAGAAAGAGCACGAGCTGGGGAGGGCAGAGGGAGGTAGACACAGAATCCGAAACAGGTTCCAGGCCCTGAGCTGTCGGCACAGAGCCCGACGCAGGGCTCAAACTCACGAACTGTGAGATCATGATCTGAGCTGAAGTTGGATGCTTAACCAGCTGAGCCACCCAGGCACGCTTGGAATTTTTTTTTTTTAAGTTTGTTTATTTATTTTGAGACAGAGCGTGCACATGCACATAAGTGGAGGAGGGGCAGAGAGCAAGACAGGGAGACAACCCCAAGCAGGCTCTGCAGAACTTGATGCGGGGCTGGAACCCACAAACCGTGAGATCATGACCTGAGCTGAAGTTGGACACTTAGCCAACTGAGCCACCCAGGTGCTCCTACACTGGACATTTTTAAATTAAATTAAAAATCATTTAAAATTGCATATTATGGAGTGGTCAGGTCATGATCCCAGGGTGATGGGATTGAGCCCCATATCAGGCCCTGTGCTGAATGTGGAGCCTGCTTAAGATTTCTTCTTTCAGGGCACCTGGGTAGTTCAGTTGGTTGAGCCTCTGATTCTTGATTTCTGCTCAGGTCATGATTTCACGGTTCATGAGATCGAGCCCTACATTGGGCACCATAATGACAGCATGGAGCCTGCTTGGGATTCTCTCTCTCCTTCTCTCTGCTCCTCCCCCAGTTCACACATCCGTGCTTTTTCTCTCTCTCTCTAAATAAGTAAATATTTTAAAAAAGAAAGTTTCTAAGGGCACCTTAGTGGCTCAGTTAAATGTCTGACTTCAGCTCTTCAACTCAGGTCATGATCTCATGATTCATGAGTTTGAGCCCCACATCGGGCTCTGTGCTGACAGCTCAGAGCCTGGAGCCTGCTTCAGATTCTGTGTCTCCCTCTCTCTTTGCCCCTTCCCCATTTGTGCTCTGTCTCTCTCAAAAATAAACATTAAAATTTTTTGAAAAAATGAAATAATGAGGGGTAGCTCAGTTGGTTAAGTGTCAGACATCGGCTCAGGTCACGATCTCACAGTTCATGGGTTTGAGCACCACATTAGGCTCTGCACTGGACAGCTCAGAGCCTGGAGACTGCTTCAGGTTCTATGTCTCCCTCTCTCTTTGCCCCTTCCCCACTTGTGCTCTGTCTCTCAGAGGTGAATAAATATTAAAAAAAATTTGTTTTCAAATAATCAATCCTAGACCAGTACAATTATTCATTCCTTCAATGCATATTGAGCATCTACTATATGCAGGGTTCTCTTCTAGACACAAGGTTTTCAGTTAAATTGAGAGTATAGCAGTGAATGTAAACAGACCAAAAAAGTTAATTATCATTACTAGATAATTAATAACAATAGCATAATAATAATCTCTATGGAGAAAAATAAAACAGGCAAGGAGGATAAAAGTACCAGAAGGAAAGGATAGTCAGAATGGACCTGACTTCTTAGATGATAACATAAGTAAGGAAGTGAGTCTTACTCTGCGGAAAAGCATCCCAGACAGAAGGAACAGCAAATGCAAAGGCCCTGATTTGGGAGTATACTGGGTGTGTTAAAGAAAAGCAGGGAGGCCAGTGTAGCTGGACTGGAGCACGCTGAGTAGTAGATGAGGTGTCAGAGTAGTTAATGTAAATACGAAGACTAATGGCCAGATCATGGGTGGCCTTTTAGCCATTTTAAGGACATGGCTTTTACTTCAAATAACAAGGGAAGCATTTGAAGGGTTTGAGCAAAGCAGCACACTATGCCATATATGAGCAGGCTGTGGAATGGGCATGTGGAGGAGCAGGGAAACCATTTGGAGGGCTGTTGCAGTAATCCAGATGAGAGATAACGAGAGGTAGGGAAAACATGGTCGGATACAGATGTGTTTTGAAGGGAGAGCCATCAAAATTTGCTTATGTGTTACGTAGAGGTATGAGAGAAGAAGAGTCAGGGATTATTTCCAGAACTTCATGAGCAGTTGGGAGGGATTGAGTTTCCATTTACTAATATTGGGAAGACTGCAGGGGAAGAGGTTTGGGAGGGAAAGATTAGGAGTTTAGTTGTAGACATGTTAAGTTTAAGATAGAGGTGTCAGGCAGGCAGTTAGATATAGGAGTCCAGAGTTCAGCTGTAGAGAAAGAACCAGGATTATAAGTAGTGATCCATACCCTTGAATCATATATGAATGACTTAATAAGGCAAGTTATAAAAACCTGCTTGTTGTACATATACTTAGCCACGGAAGGTAATTAGAAGATTTTCCCTGTATCTAAGTTCTCTACACTGGTGAGGATAAGAAGGCACAGAATGATTTTTGAAGAATTAGTTAAAATTTTGACAAATGTGTTGCCAGATACTAATAACTAACGTTTATTGAGTGCTTATTATGGCAGACACTACTCTGAGCACTTTACATGTACTGCCTTATATACTCCCTCCAGCGACCCCATGCAGTGGTTGTAGGACTGTCACTGTTTTACAGAGGAGACTAAAGCTCAGAGTGGTAGAGTAACCTGCACAGGGTCATATTGCTAACCTGTCATAGGAACAGGATGTGAATCCAGACAGGCTGGCTCCACAAAAGCACATGCTCACACTGTGTCCCTTCAGACTGGAGAGAGAAGAGAAGGTGAAGATAGACATAAACACCATAGGTAGAGATCAAGACGCAGCCAGCTGTGGTGGACCACAAGCAAAAGATTCTTTATTCAGCCAGTCTTTGAAAATACAAGGGTACATTTACACATAATTTTTTTTCCTGAAATTTTAATATGACAATTTTAATTATTTTTTATTTTTTATTTTTTTTAGAGAGCGAGCAGGAGAGAGGTACAGAGGCAGGGTAGAGAGAGAATCTTAAGCAGTCTCCGTGCTCAAGGGGAGCCCAACACGGGGCTCAGACCCATGACCCTCGGGTCATGACCTGAGCTGAAATCAAGGGTCAGTCGGTAAAGCCTTCAACTCTTGGTTTCAGCTCAGGTCATGATCTCGAATTTTGTGGGTTCAAGCCCCACATCAGGCTCTGTGCTGGCAATGTGGGACCTGCCTGGGATTCTGTCTCTGCCCCTTTCACGTGATCATGTGCGCACACGTGCTCTCTCTCCCTCAAAATAAGTACATAAACTTGAAAAAAACACACACACAGAAAAGTTGAAAGAATTATACAATGAACAACCATATCTCCACCACCTAGATTCTACAGTTAACTTTTTTTTTCACAATTAACATTGCTAAATTTGCTTTATTACCTGTCTACCCATCTGTATCCACCGTCAGTTCACCTTACAACTTTGATGCATTTCAAGTTAAGTTAAAGACATCATCAGTATACTTTTACCTGTTAACACTGCAGCTGCATGCATAATTACGGAATTCACATTCAAAAATTAAACAGGGGCGCCTGGGTGGCTCAATCAATTAGGCAGCCGACTCTTGATTTCAGCTCAGGTCATGATCTCACATTCGGGAATCGAGCCCCAAGTCAGGCTCTGCGCTGAGCATGGAGCCTGCCTGAGATTGTCTCTCACCCTCTCTCTCTGCCCCCCACCCCCCGCAAATAAGTAAATAAACTTTAAAAAATTAGATCAATACTGTTGGATTTAAATTAATTGCAAGTAAGTTAAAAGGGTTGAATGTGACTATAAAGAAATTCATGGAATTTTCTGTCGTAGGTTAAAGAATATTCTCTGGTTCCAGATATTAATGGGTAACATAGTGGTGAAGTAATTTTCAACTCTGTTCACACAGAGGATGGGGAGGCACGTGAGAGGGATGAAATCCGGCATGATAGGCGAAAAGAAAGACAGCATGACCGGAATCTTTCCAGGGCAGCTCCTGATAAGAGGTAGGTGCTATTTGAGATAAATACGAATTATGAGGAGTGGCTTTTCTGAACCTTTTAGAGAGAAGGTTTAGTCCACTGGGCCCAGTTTTACTTCTCTGCCTTTCCTTTTTAGTTTGATAACTTACTAGATCAGCACTATTTTCTCACACCAAACTATTTACTTTTTCTTAGAAGAAGAATTGACTGTCCCTGGAAGTAATCCTTTCTTATCACCCTGTAGATGTATAGAATAAGCTAGAATTGCGAATGACAGAGGGATATAGAAAACGGAGTTCAGATCATCTTTGTGAAGGTAGTAGATAGGACTGTTCTGGTCTGTTCTTTTCCTATTTTAAATGGTGAGACCAACATTATGTGCCTATTCCTCCAGGCAGAGAATAAGCTTCTGTACTTTTTAAAAAATTATTTTTTTAATGTTTATTTTGAGAGAGAGAGCGCACACGTGTGAGTTGGGGAGGGGGCGGGGGGTGGGGGGGAAGAGAGAGAATCCCAACCAGGCTCCTTGCTGTCGGCACAGAGCTTGATGTGAGGCTCAGTCTCATGAACCGTGAGATCATGACCGAAGCCTAAGTCAGAGTCGGATGCTCAACAAACTGAGGCACCCAGGCGCCCCAAAGCTTCTGTGCTTTCATTGAGATACTCCTACATGCAGAGGACCGTCCCGAGTACGGTGGCAGATAAGAGCAGATTTTCTGAGAAGTGAAAATCAGCCTCTTCTCATGAGCAGTTCTATTAAAATTCAAAGACAGAGCTACCATGTAAAATTACTTGGGAAAATGGACCAGAGCACTGTTAATAAGTACAGACCTGCGTGAAACAAACAAAATACTTGCATGGGGACTTGGGCTAAAGTAGGGATTGGTAAAGTGTATGGTTCACCAAAGGCTGAGGCCTGAATTCTGAGTGAGGGTTAAAAACAACTATGAAACATTGTCTTTCCATATGAGCAGTTTTCCACACTCTCATCATTTTGTGAGCTATTGATAAAATCCATTTTTTTTTCAAGTCATGTACTAAACATGAAAAAGAAGATTCCTGCTGGTGGTGGTCTTTGTTATTTAATGGCATAGCTCATCTCCCTGGGTAAGTGGAGCCCTGGAGAAGCAGAAAATCTGAATTTCAAATTGTGGATAATAGCGGTGTAGAAGAGAGTGGAATGAAATGTGAAAGTGCACAATTAATGATACTCTTGCTCTGAAATTCCTAAGCTGTAAAAAATTAAAATGGCTCTGTAGATAAATTGGGCCCTTAAAAACAGTAAAAGTGGTTATGAGAATTGATAATGTAGAAAGACTGTAAACTTATGACTGGGTGAAAATTAGGTTGTCTATAGAAATCATTTTAAGACTTGAGTTTCAGGCCACCTGGGTGGCTCAGTTGGTTAAGCATCCAGCTTCGGCTCATGATCTCATGGTTCATGAGTTCAAGCCCAGCTTCAGTCTCTGTGCTGATAGCTCAGAGCCTAGAGCCTGCTTTGAATTCTGTGTCTTCCTCTCTTTGCCCTTCCCCGGCTTCCACTGTCTCTCTCTCTCTCAAAAACAGTAGCGCTCTGTCTCTCAAAAAAAATAGATTGACAGACCTGAGTTTCTGGTAAAATAAGTGATGACAGTTACCATGGTTTCATTATGATATAGATTGCATACATACTGAAACAACAGGGGAATTAAGATAATCTGAATATTGAAAATCATACTGAGTAATCCAGTCATTGATATGTTTTTCTCAAAATTCTTATAGGATAAAATTACTAAATGTGGTTCAGGTAAAGAACTGATTCTGGCTTACTGACAGTGATTCATATGATACATCTAATTTGCATCCAGTCCCCCCCCCCCAACCCTCACATAATAGCAAATATAGACTAGCAATTTTCTATCTCAGCATGCTCTGTTAGGTGATTTCTTTTCTTTCTTTTTTTTTTTTTTTTTTTTTTTTTTTTTTTTGTAAGGTGATTTCTTGTATTAAACACTTCATGTCTAGAGTGAGTCTCTTGACAGTTCTTTTCATTGAACAGAAAGGCCTGATTGTAAAACCCCACCTCTTCTAATAATCACATCTCTGAAGTGCTGTAAGGACTGCCAGCCCAATTATGCATTATCAGGGAATATATGTTCACAAGATCTGAACAGGATATATTCATTAACTTTGCTTCTGAGATTGGTTAGGCTGAAATTGAAATTCAGCTTGTCTGTGAAGAGTTTTCAGTTAGCAACATTATATTTCAAAACAGGTCAAAACTGCAGAGAAATGAAAATCGAGATATCAGCGAAGTCATTGCTCTTGGTGTACCCAATCCTCGGACGTCCAATGAAGTTCAGTATGACCAAAGGCTCTTCAACCAGTCCAAGGTACAAGGAATTTAGAAATAGCATGTCTTAAGTGTTGATATGAATATAGTCCTCAGGGAAAAGAAAATTAACGTATCATAGATTTGGATCAATCTAAGTAAGGTATGCTGGCATAATGAGAGAAAAATATTACAAGTTATGTGTTATAACTTAGCTGCTTTATCTTATTTGATCTTTGATGCAAGTAAGATGAAACAACTCTGATTTTGCCCTCTTACAGTTGGCTAAGATGTAAGACACTAGTAGAAAATGAAAGAAATTAGGTGATTTAAAAAAAACCTAATATATTGGTCTTTTATTTCTAAAATAGACCCAGTGTCCTACAAAACTATCTCTTTTGGTTTTTTGTTGATCTTTGAAAAAAAAAAAAAAAAACAACAACTTTTTAATGCCGTAGAATCACATAAACTTGAGATCTTTAAAAGATGAAGCTAGGGGCGCCTGGGTGGCTCAGTCGGTTAAGCGTCCGACTTCAGCTCAGGTCATGATCTCGCGGTCCGTGAGTTCAAGCCCCGCGTCGGGCTCTGTGCTGATGGCTCAGAGCCTGGAGCCTGCTTTCGATTCTGTGTCTCCCTCTCTCTCTGCCCCTCCCCCGTTCATGCTCTGTCTCTCTCTGTCTCAAAAATAAATAAACATTAAAAAAAAACTGATATAAAAGATGAAGCTAAAAAACTAAATTTAAGTGCTAAACTAGCTATCAGGAAATCTGATTCCTAGAAGCTATTGTTATCAACTAGCTAGGACACATTAGGACTGAAGAAGTATCTTTATGTTTTAATCTACCCAACATTGATTATTTACAGGCATAAGACCTTTAGATCAAAGATAGATGTGCTTTGCCCTCAAGGAACCTTCAAGTCTACTGGAAAAGACATATATGTATATAAATAAGGACAAGGCAGACTGTAATAAAAATATAGACATAGAAATAAAGTTCTACTGGGATATGGAACAGAAAAGTTTATTGACTCCGAGGCTTCAGGGAGATTTGAAGGTAGCATTTGAGTAAGTTCTTTTAGTTTAATAATTTATTAGGTACTTTTTTACATTCCTGGCATTGTTCTTTTACTTGTATTATTTCAATCCTTTAAAAAACCCTATGACTTCATACTATTTGTTACAACCTCTGTATGTTTGAGACACATACAGGTTTAGCTGGAAACTGATAGAAGATTAAAACATGGGCTGTCTTGATTTCAAAGTTTATGTTCTTAAACACTATGCTGTGGTAATTTACCAGGCTGAGCAAAGGGGTTAGGCATGAAAATTTCATGTAAGTAAATATTTATGATTGTCACCTCTTACAAGCTTAAGCTTAAGTTATTTCAAAGTTGTAATAAAAATTTTCCTAACAAAGGACATCCCGTATTAAGGAACCATTCAAATATATGAAGCAAGTTCCTTGTTGTCTTAGGATTTTCATTAAGAGCCTCATTGTCTCTTGCTATAATAGTGATTGTTCTTGGAGTGCCTGGGTGACTCAGTTGAGCATCTTGATTTCAGCTCAGGTTATGATCCTAGGGTCATGGGAGCCTGCTTAAGATTCTTGCTCTCACCCTCTGCCCCCTCCCCAGCACATGTTCTCTCTCTCTTAGATAGAGATAGAGATAGAGATAGAGATAGAGATAGAGATAGAGATAGAGATAGAGATAGAGATAGAGATAGAGATAGAGATAGAGATAGAGATAGAGATAGAGATAGAGGGAGGGAGGGAGGGAGGGAGATAGATAGATAGATAGATAGATAGATAGATAGATAGATAGATAGAGACAGACAGGCAGGCAGGCAGGCAGGCAGGCAAACAGTGATGTTCTCAGGGAGTTAAGGGGTGTGACATTTATCCTAAACAATTTTTTTTATGTTTATTTATTTTTGAGAGAGAGAGTGAAAATGGGAGAGGGGCAGAGAGACAGGGAGACACAGAATCCAAAGCAGGCTCCAGGCTCCAAGCTGTCAGCACAGAGCCCAATGTGGGGCTTGAACCCACAAACCGCAAGATCATGACCTGAGCCAAAGTTGGACACTTAAGCAACTGAGCCACCCAGGTGCCCCAATTCTAAATGAAATCATACAGGGATGCCTGCCTATACAGCATGCAACTCTTGACGTCAGGGATGTGAGTTTAAGCCCCATGTTGGGCATAGAAGTTACATGATAAATAAATCAGTGAGTGACATCAGGTAAATGGTACTTGACCATTCTTTCATCTTTTTGCCATTGTCTGTAAAATTGAAATTGTCAAGTACCTGTTTATACTACTATCCCCCAATTTTAATGACTACTTCACTAAAGTAGTCAGACTTGTTAATTAGCACTGTATTTAATCTAAGGACCAAAGGTGGTAAGAATGAAAATTTACGGACTTTTTTTAATGAAGATCATTTTAATTTGCAGTTCAGATTGCTGAAAATGTGAACTTTTAATGTCCTTGTTCCACAGGGTATGGACAGTGGTTTTGCAGGTGGAGAAGATGAAATTTACAATGTTTATGATCAAGCCTGGAGAGGTGGTAAAGATATGGCCCAGAATATTTACAGGCCCAGTAAAAACCTGGACAAGGACATGTATGGTGATGACCTAGAAGCCAGAATAAAGACCAACAGGTACCAAGGCAGACAGCTCAGTCTCACTGTTTGCACTAGTGAAAACAAAGTGGTTCATAGTCCTTTTTCTTTTTCCCTAGATTTGTTCCCGATAAGGAGTTTTCTGGTTCAGACCGTAGGCAGAGAGGCCGAGAAGGACCAGTTCAGTTTGAGGAAGATCCTTTTGGTTTAGACAAGTTTTTGGAAGAAGCCAAACAGCACGGTGGCTCTAAAAGACCCTCAGACAGCAGCCGCCCCAAGGAACATGAGCATGAAGGCAAGAAGAGGAGGAAGGAGTAGATACACCGTTCTTCAAAGTGAATGAACTTTTGTCCATAACCCTAATGATGCAAGTCAGATGGGGAAACACTTTGTAAATGGCCAGGATAAAAACCAAATCTGGGTGTCAGACCCCAGCACTACTTTTTATTACGGGAGTAAGGGGGGGGGGGTGGTGGAAAATTCTTTGAACTATTTAGTTTTTTTTAAAGAGTGGGTTGTGTTTGTGTTTCTCCTACCTTTTGGCATTTATAGAACATACTGCTCCACACATGAAATTAAGACCACTTCCTTTTGTGTGATGTTAGTACTTTGGGGATAATATTTTGTGTAAGAAGGACTGCTGATGAATACAGTTGCCCCAATCACAGTGAGTAGAAGGATGTTCACATACTAGAACTGTCCTGCCAAATGACGCCTGCCCCTCCTGAGCTCGGTTTTCATTTGGAGTGGGGAAAGCAAGCTCTTGCTTGGTGCAACTACTTGTTTCAAATAAAAACATTTAGGCAAAATTTTCAATTTTGTTTACTTTATTTAATAGGTAGTAACAGTCTCAAAAATGTTTTTCTTCATCAGATGTTTGATCCCCTTGCAAAATTTTTGGTCTTTGAGCTTGAATGTGGAGCTAAGAAAAATCAAATAAGCATTGTAAGGAAAGACACTATCTGCAAAAACATTACGACTGACTGAAAACTGCCACTTTAAGACTGCCTTTTTATTATGGAGTCAGCAGCTAGAAGTCAAGAGGATGTTATTTGTTCCCTGCTCTTAAAACTAAATCGGTTTGACCCAAGGTTGCATGGTAAGTGGAAAAGCCAGGATTTCAACAACAGTCTCCCTACCTTGTAAGTAAGTTCCCACTGCTCTATGTTAGATACACCTTGCTAACCATTAAAGGGCCTTCCTGTACTACCCTCCCCAGACATTTTAGAACTGGCACTCTCCCACCACCACCATTCTTTAACCAATATTAAGGAAACCTTAGTTACAAATCTCCCAAAGGCCTTGTCATTCCATAGTTTTGACCTACTGACCGATATATAGAAAGCTCACGACATTATACAGAAAAATATTTACCTTTACTCCATCAATAATATGATTTTCTTGCTGTAGTGCATTCTGAAGTTCTTCTTCTGAAGAAAACTGAATCCAACCCATACCTCTGTGAAACCCAGTCTCTTTGTCCTAAAAATTCAAAATTTAGGAAGAGATTAATCATGAACTTGAAAAATGTTTCCATGAGCTCCAAAACAAACTACCAACTGTTCATCTGCCAAAACGGCATAACAGACATTATTAAAGATGTTGAAAAACTTAGTTACCAAAGGCTTAACCGCCGTGTTAATCTTGACATTCTGCTTTTCTGATGCCACTAGAGAAGTAACATATAGGTAGTAAAGTTTCTTTGTCATTCAAGATACAAACCACACTAAAATAAGGGAAATTTTAATCACATAAATAGAGTACTCTAACTTCCTCATTTCTAGAAACTAAAAAATTAAGCCTCAAAATCTAGGTGCACTTCTGGTAATTTTGGAGACCAATTCTCATCACCACTACTACCATTATAATCACATACTCCCTATTCCTAATGAAAAATAGGAAAAAAGAAAAAATATAGACAGTATTACCCTTATTTACCTAGCTCCAGACTTCAAGGTGCTTCCCTTTGTGCATAGGACAAGAGTGCTTATCATCCAACCTATACATCAGCACGTGTGGAAAAGATTCTGGTGTGCTTCGAAGCACCCTGCTATTTAAAGACGAGGGGTGCCTGGGTGGCTCAGTCGGTTAAGCATCCAACTCTTGATTTTGGCTCAAGTATGACCTCAAGGTTGTGAGATCAAGCCTGCCTTTGGGCTCTGTGCTGGTCATGGAGCACGCTTAAGATTCTCTCTCTCTCCCTCTGCCCCTCCCCACCCAAATAAAAAGAACAGATACAAAGATGTCTATTCACTCTGTACATCATCATCAATCTTGTTACAAAGTTATGTTGTGCTCCACACCACCCCCAAACCAAATTCTTAGAAATTGCCCCCATATTTAAAAGGTGACTTTTTTTTGAGAGAGAGAAATAGTGGGAGAGGGGGTCAGATGGAGGGAGAGACAGAATCTTAAGCAGGTTCCATGCTCAGCACAAAGCATAGGGCTCAGTCCCGCGACCCTAGGATCGTGACCTGAGCTAAAATCAAGAATCTGAGGCTCAACTGACTGAACCACCCGGGCACTCCTAAAAGGTAACTTTTTAAGTATAAACCTAGACTGCAGGAAGTTTCTGGTAATGTCCCAGTGATTCACTCCTTACCTCAGAAAAATACAATTTCTCCTCTACCTCCTTATGACCATTGCTGTAAAAGCTTTACAAATTTTGTGTGTGGGGGAAGCCTGGGTGGTTTAGTCAGCTAAGTGTCCAGCTCTTGATTTCAGCTCAGGTCATGATCTCCCGGTCGTGAGACTTCACGCTGAACGTGGAGCCTGCCTGGGATTCTCTCTCACCTCTCTCTGCCCTTCCCCTCCTCACACTCTCTCTCTCTCTCTCTAAATAAATAAACATTTGAAAAAAATGTTTTGTGTTTGTGTAAAACTTAAGTACTGTGTATCTAAGATAGGAACCTGGATTTCTAACTTGAGTACATGAATTGTTTACCAGAAACTTTTTTCCTGTTACATTTTATTTAGTTTTACCAAGAATCAAAATTTTCTTTTGTTTAAATCTAAACCTGTTAACTCCAGGTCCTAAATTATATTATTTATACTTCTAAGAGGGAAATGGGAACCAAGAAAAATGTGTTACTATTTTTGGATAAAATTTTTTAATGCTCCTCAAAAAACACAAGTTTCATACTCTTTGTAAAATTGTAGTTTTTAAGCTTATAGAAACATTTTCATGTCAGTAATACATGGGCCTCATTCTTTTAATCAACTGTATAAAAAACTCCATTGTATCAATGACTATTTAATCCCATTGATAAACATTTAGGTTCTTTCTGGTAATATTACTATTTTTTTTATTTAAAGAGAGAAAGTGGGAGCAGGCGAGAGGGGCAGAGGGAGAGACAGAGAATCTTAAGCAGGCTCCATGCTCATCGCGTAGCCCAATGCAATACTCGATCTCAGAACTCTGGGATCATGACCTGAGCCGAAATCAGGAGTCAGACGCTTAACCAACTGAGTACCCAGGCGCCCCTTTCCAGTTACATTAGTGAACAATGTTGCTTTGAGCATTCTTAACCACACCATTTCTGCAGAATAAATGCCTAAAAATGGAACTGCGAGATCAAAGCAAATACAAATTCTGGATTTTGATTTTACCAAACTATCCTTCAGAAATGAAGTAAACTTCTGAGCAATTTCAGTGCCAGCTTCCCTACACCCTCACTAGCACTAGATAGGAGGTATCTATTAGATCCTTGGAAAGCAACAAACATTAAGAGTTAAGAATTTAAATTTCTTTAAGTTGATATTTTACCATAGTCTTCTCAGTGTCAGGAAAAAAGGGGCAGCTTTAGTGAAGCACCTGTAAACTTTGTGTGTACTCACATTACACCATCAAAAATCCAGTAATTCTAGAAAGCCCACAGAAAAATACAGCCCAGAATAAAGCAAAACAAATTGATAAACTGATTTCTAAACCTTCCTTAGAAAGCAAAGGAGGGGTGCCTGGGTGGCTCAGTTCGGGGAGCATCTGACTTCGGCTCAGGTCATGATCTCATAGTTCGTGAGTTCAAGCTCCACGTCAGGCTCTGTGCTAACAGCTCAGAGCCTGGAGCCCGCTTCAGATTCTGTGTCTACCTCTCTGTCCCTCCTCTGCGTGTGCTCTGTCTCTCTCTCTTTCAAAAATAAACATTAAGGGGCGCCTGGGTGGCGCAGTCAGTTAAGCGTCCGACTTCAGCCAGGTCACGATCTCGCGGTCCGTGAGTTCGAGCCCCGCGTCAGGCTCTGGGCTGATGGCTCGGAGCCTGGAGCCTGTTTCCGATTCTGTGTCTCCCTCTCTCTCTGCCCCTCCCCCGTTCATGCTCTGTCTCTCTCTGTCCCAAAAATAAATAAAAAACGTTGAAAAAAAAATTTATTAAAAAAAATAAACATTAAAAATTTTAAAGGAAATATAACAAATATAAAAATACTAAAAGAAAAAAGGCATTCAACTTAATAAGGATAAAGATTAAAACAGATATTCTCTACCAGTTGAAAAAAAAATTTTTTTAAATGTTTATTTATTTTTGAGAGACCGCATGAGCAGGAGAGGGGCAGAGAGAGAGGATGACACAGAATTGGAAGCAGGCTCCAGACTCAGCTGTCAGCAGAGAGCCCGACATAAGGCTCAAACCTATGAACCATGAGATCATGACCTGGGCCAAAGTTAGACACTTTAACTGACTGAGCCACCCAGGTGCCCCTCCACCAATTAATTTTCAGATAAAATCATCCTTTAGTATCAAGTCCTTACTATAATACTGGAGTGGGCAGAATTCAAAGATGGTCCTGTGATCTACACATGTCCCACCAAGTTACCCTCTGTATAACCCCTTCCCCTTGAGAGTGTGTGGGACCTGTGACATGCTTCTAACCAAAAGAATATGGCAAAAATGATGGGATGCCACTCCCATGACTATGTTCTAAGACGAACTTAACAGACTAGACAGAGAAACTCCTCTGCTGACTTTGAAGAAGTAAGCTGCCATGTTGGGGGAGCCTACAGACCTCCCAGGTAACAAGGAACTGCAGGTAGTCCCTACAAGCTGAAAGCCAGCAAAAAGGTAGATACCTCAGTCCTACAGTTCAAAAAATGAATTCTGCCAACAACCTGAGGGATCTTGGACATCAGTCTTTCCCAGCTGAGCCTCTGATGAGACCAAAGCCCCAGCTGACACCTGGCCTGCAGCTATATGAGACCCTGAGCAGAGGGCCCAGTAAGGCTATGCCCAGGTTCCTGATCTGCTGAAACTGTGGATAACATATGTTTGTTGTTTTGAGTCCTTATGTTTATGGTAATTTGTTATGTGCAGGATAAGTTGGTTTTT